TTCTTTGTGTTTTAGCTTGTTTGAGATTTGCTGAGATTCTCTTCATTTTAGAGTCTTCTATTCATTTATTCATGTTTTACTGATATATAAAAATGGTCTGGAACTGTAGCGTGGTGGTAGAGTGTTTGCTTGGTATGTGCATTGGTTCAAAACCAACAAAAAAATGCATAAAAATTGTATATATTAGTGGGGTACCATGTGATGTTTCAATATATTTGTATGTTATAAAAATGATTAATCAGGGTAAACATATCTGTTTCCTCAAACATTTATCATTCCTTCATGGTAAACACTTTTAAAATCCTTGATGGTACTGGTACTTGAACCCAAGGCCTTACACATGCATATTTAGTCCATGATCATTATCTGCAGTCACCCTCTTGTGTGATAGCATGAGATTCTTAGCTGTGCCTGTGTGCTGGGGATGAATCCAGAGCCCTGTGCATGTACCTACAGATTATTGAATTTGTAGATTTTTATTTTTCGTTCACTGTGGGAAGTTTATAGTCATTTTTTTCTTCAAATAGTTCATTAGTGGTGCTTTTTCCTGGGACTCAAGAGACAAATGGTAGGCTTTCTTTTTGTCCCACAGGTCTTAGAAGCTCTGTTTTGCTTTTGGGGTTTTTTGCTTTTTGGGGTTTTTTTCCTCCCTCTTGTTCAGATAGAATGATTTCTTTTGCTTTGTCCCCACTTTACTGGATTTCCCCCTCTGTCTTCTCTATTCATCTATTGACCTATGCCATAAATTTTGAAATTTTGATTATTATATTTTTCAGTTTTGAAATTTCCTTTTGGTTCTTATTGACACCTTCTATTTCTTATTGTGAGTGTCTGTCTTCCCATTTGTTTCAAGAGCATTCATCCCTTTGAGCATGGTGGTAACAGCTGTCTTACAGATTCTGCCTGATAGTCCCCAATGCCCATGACATTGTGGGATTGGTATCTATTGTCTTTTCCTTTGCAAGTAGTTGAGATTTCCTTTGTCTCTCATGTGTTGATCAATTTTCTATTGTTTTCAAAATTTGAATTTCATGCAACTCCTGGTCTTCTTCAAATCCTATGGAGAATTTTGATATTTTTAATTGTTCTTTTTTTAATTTTAATTTTTTAATTGTTAATGGACCTATATTTTTATTTACTTATATATGGTGCTGAGAATCGAACCCAGTGCCTCACACATACTAGGCAAGAGCTCTACCACTGAGCATTTTAACTTTTCTTATAGGCCATAGGTTTGGATATTCTGAGATCATAAGTTCTCCACCTTCTTTGGGCTGTGGTTCCAGTGTTCTCTCAGTTTTCAGGCTCTAAAATTTGGATCTTTCCCTCATTTTTGCCACCCAATGGCCAGTGGGTGGTGGTATACCTGGAGAACAATGCCTTTGGTTTATTATATAGGTTTAATCTTCACATGCACAGCTCAGGGGTTAGGCTAAGAGTTCCTTTAAAAATATATAAATATAGTTTTTTGGTGGTGCTGGGGCTCAAACCCAATACCTTGCAATCACTAAGCAAGCACTTTACCAGTCCCATCCCCAGCATCCCCAAGCTACATCCCCACCCCCATAAAAATCTTTGTGAGGTAATTTTCCTGAGCACCTTTCTCTCACTGATCTCTTGAATACTTTTTGTCAGGAGCCATGCCCTGGTGTTCTAGCTAGGAAGTTGCTTCTGTTTCCCTCCTGTACCGAACACCTTCCCCACTGTTTCTGGCTCCTCATCTGGGTGGCAAGAGGGACTTCCATAGTGCTCCTATCTCAAGTTTTGGTTGCCTCTGCTGTGATGGCTGTTGTTAGCCACAGGGTTTCTTGGGGTGGGACAGATACCAAGAGGGAAAGAAGAAGAACGCAACAGAGATGCCCCTTGTGCTCTTGGCCTGCAGTACTGTATTACTGTGTCCCTGGGCTGTCGCTGATGCTACCTTGGGATTGCCTGGGAGCTCCAGCCTGAGAGAAAGAAAAATCTACAAAGCAAAAAATGGTACTTTCCTCACTGTGTCCCATCCAAACCCATCTCCTGTGTCTCAGACTGGTGGGAGTGGACTTTTCTCAAAGCTCTTTTTGTGCCCAGTATCAATCCGGTTTCCGGTTTCACGCTGTCCCTGAGCCTAGGCCAGGAGACACCAGAACACAAAACAGGAAACTGACCGTCAGTTTGGTGGCATTTGGTGTCCTCCCCCTCCTGCTGGCTTATTCTTCAGAGTCCTCAGCTAGCTTCTCCCTGCATTCCACCCAGGACTGTAGCTGCAGTCAGTGGGAGAGAGCAGAGTGTGCTAATTCCTAAAGCTTTTCATCAGTGAGCCCATTGGAGAGTGGTTTAAGTGGAAGATTATTTAAAGAAATTCTTCAAGCAAGGAATGGAACAAACAGTGAAAAATGTGAATAACTTAGATCTCTTTTTTTCCCCATGTTTCCTTGCCTGTTATCAAAAGCTTTCCTCAAACCAGCTGTCTAGTGTGCATTTTCACATCTTGTCTTGATTTTAAAACTTACACATGACTTTTTTTTTAAAGTATAGATTTTAAAACAAACTTTTAACATTAGTTTTTGAAGTGCCAAAGATATTTTGCATGTTATGGTTTAGATATGAGGTGTTCCCCAAGCTCCTATGTAAAAGAATGCAAGAGAGTTTAGAGGTGAAATGGTTGGGTAATGAGAGTCCCAGTAGGGATTAACTGGGTGGTAACTATAGGCAAGTAGGGTATGACCACAGGAGGTAGGTCCCTAGGGGTGTGCTTTTGGGTTATCTATTTTGTCCTGGGTGAATGGAACTCTATTTCCCGGTGCCACATCTCAGCTGCTTCCCTCTGCCACACACTTCCACCGTGATGCTCTACTTCACCCCAGGCCCAGAGCCACGGAGTTGGCCATCTGTGGAGTAAGACCTCTGAAGCCATGAGCCCAAATAAACTTTTCCTCTTCTAATTATCCTTGTCAGGTCTTCTGACCATGAAAAACAGAAGACCTGACTAAAATAATGGGTGAAGTTTATGAATCCGATGATTGTCACATTGAGTAAAATTTTTAGTTATTATTGGACAATCTTCAATAATTTGATTTTAATATACATGCTCCTTATATGTCTTTATTTAACCAGTTGTTCATTATTAGTGTAACAAATCATGTATTGAAATAAAACCAATTTTATTAAGGCTGTATAAAAACAGTAATATTTATTATGACTGATTCCTGAGCTTTTTCATCTGACCCTTCTGCATGCTCCTTCAAAAATCACTTCACAGAGGGGCTGGGGTTGTAGCTCAGTGGTACAGCACTTGCCTAGCATATGTGAGGCACTGGGTTTGATTCTCAGCACTGAATATAAATAAATGAATAAATAAAGGTCCATCAACAACTAAAAGTATGTATAAAAGAACTTTAAAAAAAAATTATTTCCCAGAAAAGGATACTTAAATGACCAGTGAAAAGGTATTATTGACTTCATTAGTCAACAGGGAGATGTAAAATCAAACCAATAAGCAATGCCATCAATATAACTAAAATGTAACATAGATAACGTCAATTATTGCCAAGGACATAAGATGCCATACCTGTAGGAACCTTAAATTGGTACAACCAATTTAGAAAAGTATTTGGCAGCATCAACTAAAGCTAGTCCCAAATATGAAGATCCTATAACTAGCTATTCCATTTCTTGGAATTAATAAATAGAAATGTACACATATGTCCACCAAAAAGAATGTACACAAGGGTTTAGTGTGGTCTGTTTATATTAACAAACACTGGAAACTACCCAAATGCCTATCAGCAGCAGACTAGATTAATGAGTTGTGTAAAGTCACATTGTAGAATACCACATGAATGGAGTATAACTAACTACTTGAGCAATCTGAATGAACCTCCCAAGTGTGATGTTGAATAAGAGAAGTTTCTATGTAGATTTAGGTATGGGTTACCTGGATGTGTTCACCCTGTGAACATTCATTCAGGGGGCTGGTGATCTGCGCAGTGGAAGGAACATTTGCCTAGCATGCAGGAGACCCTACATTTGATCCCCATCACTGCAAAAAAAAGGAAGGAAAATAAGTTTATCATCCATAAACTTAGTACTTGCACATTTTTCTGTATATATTTTATATACTTCAGCAAAAAGTTTACTAAATGAATTAAGTTTTGTTTTTCTATTTTTGCTTGTTTTTATTTTTATTTTTTAAGTTTTTAAAATTTTTTTTTGGGGGGGTGGTACCAGGGATTGAACTCAGGGGCACTTAACCACTGAGCCACATCCCTAGCCCTATTTTGTATTTTATTTAGAGACAGGGCCTCACTGAGTTGCATAGCACCTCTCTTTTGCTGAGGCTGGCTTTGAACTCACCATCCTCTAGTCTCAGCCTTCTGATCCGCTGGGATTATAGGTGTACAACACCATGCCCAGCTGTTTGCTTGTTTTTGAAAGATTGACCTTTAATATATCTATTACTGGCCACTTATTGAACTCATAAAATGGAGTAATTTTTCAGTTGACTCTCTTGTATATTATAGATGATTCTTTCATCAGAAAACTAGGAGATCTTATCTTCAGAAAATTTTGTTTTGTTTTTGTTTTGTTGCTGAAGTGGAACCCAGGGCCTCTTGCATGCTAAGTGTGCTCTCTGCCACTTAGTGACACCCCTGTCCCCAGGAGAATAATTTTTAATGCCAAAGAAACAGACATAGAATTGCTTCTGTAAGTAGCCCAAATATCTAAAAAAAAAAAAAAAGAGGGCCTGCTGCATGCAGAGCTTGCCTGGAAGAGCCTCTGTTTTCATTGTCCCCTCTCCCTTCTGTGAGCTCATAAACCTGTGCAGTATAAGAACTCAGAACTAGAACACAGTGACCTTTGTGCTGACTTTTTTAAGGGAGCATCATTTATATTATATTCACAATGCCTGGGATGCAGGTAAATGCTAGTTGTGTAACATAATTCTGTTTGTCCCTCCCCAACCCCTTCGTTTTGTTTTAGGGGTTTTTTTGTTGTTGTTTGTGTGTTTGTTTTTGCAGATCTTTTCACAGATGCTGCTGAGACTGAAAAAATGGCCAAAAGTTTGGAAGATTCTGAAGGAGTTTATTTTGTTCCATCTTTTAGTGGATTACAGGTACTTTTTTTTTTTTTTTTAAGTTCATGGCAATTGCAAACATTTTTCTGTTCCCACCACACCCCAAATTATGTATCTGTCACTCTATTACCTGAAAATTTGGCTGCTGAAAATAACTAAGATGAAAGGTACATTCTAGGACTGTGAAGTTGGGCTCTGGCCCAGCACAGATTCCATAAGAGAGCAGAATGTCCCTTAAGTGTGACCCTGCTGGCTTGGCTTGTACTTGCAGAATTCAGCTGGCTTCTGCTTAGAACTCTGTCCCTTGGCAGACTTAAGAGTTGGCAGGTTTGTCATAGAACTTTTACATAAGACTGAGGAGGATTACTTTATCATGACTAAAAATAGTCATTTCCTAGTAGGGGGAAAATATATCAGTAAATGGGCATTCTGTACCAAATAGAAAGTGTACCATTGGGAACCAGAAAAATAATGTCAGGGCATATTCACACTCTACCACATGCACAGGTAATGTACATATTTTAAAGTTATATCTTTGTAAGTTTTGATAACTTTTTTCAAAACTCAAGATTTCTTTTCATATAATTCTTGTGGTGGAGTTACTTTGCCTAATCGAAAACTGAACCTAGTTTTAAAAAATGATCAAAAGTTTGGAAGATTCTAAAGAAGTTTATTTTGTTCCATCTTTTAGTGGATTACAGATGTTTTTTAAGTTAATGGCATTACAAACATTTTTTTTTCTTCTACCACATCCCAAATTTTGTATCTGTCACTCTGTTACCTAAAGATTTGATTTTGTAACATTGAACTTTTTATTTAATTGAAAGAACTGTGATCCCACCTTGTATTTTAGCATATGTCACAAAGACTTTTAAAAGAGATTTTCAAGTACACTATTATGAACAAATTTACTTTCTGGGAATGTTTTATACCATTCCCTTTAAGCTTCCTATAAAAATTTTCTTTCTTTCAAAAAATAAAATTTTTCACTTGGAGAATTTGTCTTATACTTGAGCAATCAGATAAGGTCCAAAATTTTAAAGTTTGGCAGATATAACATATAACCTGGTAAAAGAAAACGTAAATCAGGGTGTTTTAAATCTTAAATGTACTCTACCTTCAGAACTAGAATTAAAAATAGCATTCTTTGATGTCTTTAATATTCTCCTCCTGTGTGTTTGTCCTAAAGGCCTGAAAGCTGATGGAGTGTATGTAGAGATTACACTTCATCCTCTTCAGGGTGATGCGAGGCAACTCCAAACAGCAGCCATGGCAGGACAGGAAGCAAAAGTTTTCTATCTAATTGAGGTTTCAGGAAGAAGGTTAAATGGGTAATTGTCATCAGCAAAGGTAGGGCTTGGTTAGGTTTTTATAGATTCTTTCCTTTCTGAAAAATGTGCTGTGGGACTTAGTAGTGACTTTGTCTTGACAGCTCCATCTGTACATTTCATCACCACATCCTGTTCAAATAATACATAGTTTGTGATTTAAAAAAAGAAGTCTTGCCAAAGCCCAAGAGCTTTAGACAGTAGTGTTACAGATAGGATTTTTAGTTTCAGCTTGATAAAGCCTCTCTGTCCTGCGAGATGACAACCTGGTTATCTCTTGGAAGCAGAGGGCTGGTGGGGGTGTCTGTGGGGGAGGACCGCAGGCCGGTATTTCCCAACATAAAATGAAGCTCTTAATTGAAAACTGAAAGTTAACTCAAACAATAGTGTGTTGATACAAAGCTGTTTGGAAAAATAAGGAGGCAGAATGTGTCAACAACTAGAGAAAATGAAAGATGGGGAATGGAAAGAAGGAAGGTTCAAGTGCCTGATGCTGCCTTTAGTTTTAGGATGTTATTAGAGCTTCAGAGAGTGAGGACAGCGTAAGATATTGAAGTCTCCTGTTACTCTCAGTTTCTCAAGAAGTTTGCTGAGAAGAGGGTGCTGGATCATGAGCTTTGTGGCAAATGGGGAAGTCTGGGACAGGCACTCTGGGGATGGCAGAGGTGTGGACCACACACCTGGGTGGCACCAGTGAATGTTACCATTGTGGCTTTGTTTTAGCAGGGCTTGTGCTTTGGAAAGCAAGATAGTAGGCATTGGAGGTAATCATCAGTAGCTACCTACTTAGGCACTGGTCTGTGCTGATGGTGTAGTAGATAGACAGGACTAGGAGCCAAGTCTCAGTCTTCAGAGGATGAGGAGTGGTGTGGTTTAGATTTGAGATGTCCCCCAGAAGCTTGTGGGTGAGACAATGCAAGGACATTCAGAGGTGAAGTGCTTAGAGATATAACCTAATCACTGGGTAGATCCACTGATGCCAGTGATTAGCTGGGTGGTGAATGTAGGCAGGCAGGGTGTGGCTGCAGGAGGTAGGTCACTGGGGGCGTGCCTTTAGGGTTTCTATTCTGTCCCTGGTGAACAGAGCGCTCTCTGCTTCCTGTTTGCAGCGTCCTGAGCTGCTTTTCTCCTCCGTGCCTGCATTCCTGATGTTCTGCCTCACTTCAGACCTAGAGCTGTGGAGTTAGCTCTCTGTGGACTGAGACCTCTGAAACTGTTAAAACCCAAATAAACTTGTCTGTCCTCTGTGTTGTGTCAGGTCTTTTAGTCCCAGTGAGGAAAAAGCTGACTAAAACAGAGAGATTTGCTGGGCATGGTGCCACACCCCTATAATCCTATCCATGGGGGGATAATTCAAAGCCATCCTCAACAACATAGCAAGACCCTAAGCAACTTAGCAAGACTCATTCTCAAAAAATGAAAAGAGCTGGGATGAAGTTTAGTGATAAAACACCTCTGGGTTCAATCCCCAGTACCAAAAATAAAAATAAAAATAAAAAAAGACAATAGTACTATAAAGGGTTTAGACAAGGAATAATAATAAATAATTATAGTGGCATCTAACCTGTGAATACTCACTGTGCATCAGATATGTCCTAAATTTGTTCATTCTTTATTTTTTTTCTAAGCTGCTGGGGTTAGAATCTAGAAGCCCACACCAGGCAGGTGCTCAGCTACTTAGCTACATCTCCAGTCCTGCTTTATTTCATTTCATTTCACTTCACTTCACTGTTTTACAACAGGGCCTCACTAAGTTGCAGATGCTGGCCTTGAACTTGATCCTCCTGCCTCAGCCCCCTGAGTAGCTGGGATTATAGTCTTATGTCACCATAATCCACTGTCCTAAATTCTTTACATGCAGTATTTCATTTAATCCTCAGTAACTCAACAAGGTAGAAGATACTCGAATCATCCCACTCTGAAGATGGGGAAAATGAGATTGATTGCTTGCTTGATTTTTGGAACTGGGGATGTGACCCAGGGCTTAATGCATGCTTGGCAAACACTTTACAACTGAGCTATGTCCCCAGAGTGAAAACTGAGGTTCAGAGCTGTTAAATCACTTGTCTGATCTCACCTAGCTAGTGAGTGGCAGAACTGGTTTTAGAACCTAAGCATTCTGACTCCAGAGTCCAGGCTCTTAACTGCTCTGTCAGATGGCCTTATGGTATGACATAAAATACTATGCAGTCAGAACACACAGTAGGTGCATACATTCAGAGTCTGGGTTGACAAGGGCAAGAAGCATGGCATTAACCATCCTACAATTCCCCATCAGATTCAGCTGAGATCCTGGTGGTGACAAGGGCCCTGGGGCAGGTAGTCTGTGCCCTGGGAAAGAGGTAGCTAGCTTTGCTTAGGGAGCCAAACAGAGTTTTACTGAGTGCTACTGATCCTTGTTGGTTGATGGTTCTGTGGAGGCTTAGTCATTAGGATTGGCAGTGACAGCCTGAAGTTGTGGCTGTAGGCCATCTGCCATAATGGAGTGTGTCCAGGCCTGTAGAAGGACCTTCCTGGTGTTTCCTACCAGGACACAGACTCACATGGACTAACATGGGGGTGTTGTAACTTGTAAAGAAATTTTAAGTTTCTATGGAATACCTCCTTAATGTTGAATTTCTTTTTTAATTTTTTGTTGGTCCTTTTTAATTATACATGACAGTAGAATCAATGTGATATAATTATACAAGCATGGAATTTATCTTTTTCTAATTAGGATCCCCTTCTTATGGATATACATGATGGTGAGATTCCTTGTGATATAGTCATATATGTACATAGGAAAATTATGTCAGATTCATTCTGTAAGAATTCCTTAAGTAATTAGCAAAAGTATTATTTGTTTCTTTATTCACTAAATGTTAATTGGTCCTCTGTAAAGTGCTACATACAGTGGTTGGAGACACCTTGTGAGCATAAGACGAGGTTCCCTTTATGGCATTTACAGTATAGAGGGGAAGATTGAATCAATAATCCCACAAACGTGGTCATAAACTGGTGCATAGTATCATGGCAAATTGTAGAGTTCCATAAAAGCATGTAATGGGGAACCTAATCTAGTCTCTGGATCAGAAGTTTTCTCTGAGGAAACTGAGCAAAGATTTGGAGGAGGATTATAAAATAACCAGGAGAAGGAGTGTAGAAAATTTTCTAAGGAAAGCGATACCAGGCATGGTGGGGCACACCTATAATCTCAGCCACTTAGGAGGCTGAGGCAGGAGGATCCCAAGTTTGAGGCCAGCCGGAGAGCTTATCAAAACCCTGTCTCAAAATTAAAAACAAAAAGGGTTGAGGATGTAACTCAGTGGTAGAGCACCCCTGGGTTCGATTCCCAGTTCCTCAAAATAAAGAAGAAAAGCCCTGAAGCTAGAGTACTATTTTGGGGAAGCCATTTTCTTGGTAGCACTAGTGTGTCCATATGTCCTGAGTATATTCATGTGTCAGAACTGTTCTTCTGTTTCCTTATGAGATTGTAAGCTCTTGCAGAGATCTTTGTTTTATATCTTTATGTCCTATATGTCCTAGAATTGTCTTGCATTCTGGGGATACAAAGACTTTTTTTTTTTTTTTGGTACCAGGAATTGAACTCAGGGATACTCAGCCACTGAGCCACATCCCCAGCCCTATTTTGTATTTTATTTAGAGACAGGTCACTCTGAGTTGCTTAGTGCCTTGCAGTTGCTGAGGCTGGCTTTGAATTCAAGCTTCTGCTGTCTCAACCTCCTTAGCCATTGGGATTAGAGGGGTGCGCCACCATGCCCTGTGATTTATACAGACTTTATCCAATGAATACGTCTGACAATATGTGTGATGTAAGCTGTGCCACTGAAAAGAATGTTTTTGTTTTTAAATCTTAAATCTAATTTATATCCTTAACAAGTCATTCTACATAGTGGTTGAGTGCCCCTGGTTCAATCCCATCCCCTGTACCAAAAAAAAAAAAAAAAAAATTATCCTAGGGCTGAGGGTGTAGGTGGCTGGCAGTGCACTTGTCTAGCTCCAGGCCTTGTAATTCCAGCTCCAACACCACAGGAAAAAAAAAAAAAGAAGAAGAAGAAGAAGAAGAAGGAAAGAAAGTAATCCTAATGTTTAATTTTTGGATTATCGTTTATTTTTAAGTATTCTTGTAACATGCCTATTTTTATTGTATAAATTTCCTCAAGTCTGTAGACATAACTAAGAACATTTATAATACATTCTTTTTACCTCTTCCTTTAGGCTCCATTAAATGACCCCTGTGCATGTGCTTCTTTTATGGGTTTGAAGCCTTCTACCAATAAACACCATCTTGTCCGAGCAATACTGGAGTCAATAGCTTTCAGGTAAGAAAATCTGCCCCAAGCTCCCTGCCTCTCATCTACATGCTTTGCCATTTCCTGTATTAATTTGCTATCAAATTAAAATATTCAGTGCTTACAGACCCAGATCTTTAAGGTGGGCCTACCAAGCCCACCCATGTGCATGCATGCTTGTCTGTCAGTGCATAGGAGGGTCCACAAGCAGGTGGTGCTCATCCTGTCCTTCATTGTCCCAGAAGCTTATTGACTGTCCCTTCCATATAGGGGTGGCCTCTCAGGCCCCATGAAGAGAAAGAATGCCAAGAAGGGTGAGGGTGGGGCCAGAGCTGGTAAATAAGAATGGGGGAGGGGGACCTTCCCACCCCTTCCCAGGTTAGAGGATTATTTTCTAGTTAGATAGTAAAACAAGATCAGCACTTCTAAAAAATTGAAAATTTCTTACTTTTCATTAAGTTATTTAATTTAAACTTTCAGTTTAAAACATACTGCATTTGATCTAATCTGTTCTGATTGCTAATTTCCTTGATATTTCATTTAAATAGTACCAGTATTAGATTTGATTTTTGAAATTGAATGATTTTTAAAAACATCCAGGGGAGGCTGATGCTGTAGCTCAATGGTAAAGTGCTTGCCTCACATGTATGAGGCACTGGGTTCTATTCTCAGCACCACATAAAAATAAATAAAGATACTGTGTGTTCATCTACAACTAAATAAATATTAAAAAAAAAAAAAATCCAGGACTGGGGTTAAAGCTCAGTGATAGAACATGTATTGTCCATATGTGAGGTGCTGGGTTCTATTCTCAGCACCACAGGAAAATAAATAAGAATAAAAAAATTCCAGGGCTGGGGTTGTAGCTCAGAGGCAGAGAGCACTTGCCTAACATGTGTGAGGCACTGGGTTTGATCCTTAGCACCACATAAAAATGAAACAAATAAAATAAAAGCATACTGTCCATTTACAACTATAAAAAATAAATAAATTTTAAAAAATTCCAATTTCTCTTAAGCATGAAAGGTTCAAATTGGAATTTTCAAAGGTGTAGTTTCCTTATTCATGAGGAAGAATTCAAATTTATAATGCTTCTATTATCCAAGACTTAAATCATCAGAATTATTATTTATATATATTTCCTGTGATCCTTTTGCTATGGGACAAGTATAGATTGTTAAAACTAAGAACACAGCTGTCAGAGCTGGGTGCAATAGTGGCATAGGCTCTAATCCCAGGCTGAGGCAGGAGGATCACAAGCTCAAAGACAGCCTCAACAACTCAAGCAAGACCCTGTGTCAAAAAATAAAATCAGAAAAAAGGGCTGAGGATATAACTCAGTGGTACAGTGCCCCCCAGGTTCGATCCCCATTGTGGGGGTGGATATAGCTGTCATGATAAAGAATATTTGTTTCATTTAGTTTAAAATAAGTTAATGTCCATGATTTCAAAATAATTGTATTTGATGAATTCTATTAAATGTTATTTGTGGTATCTCATCTTAATGAATACCTTTTAAATAGCTAATTGCTTTACTTTTTCTTTGAAGAATGGTAAAAGATTTAACTTTGTTGTAAAATAAAAAACATGCTATATGAAGGGGGGAAGCATGAAAAGCCGAGCTGCTGTTTAAATCAGGCATCTGCTAGGCATTCTGCAGTTAACCAATATTTCTTTAACATTTTCTTTCGCATGTTTTATAAACATCAGGTAAATAAAACTGTGGTTTTAATTTTTTGATATCAGAATAGAGGATTATTATTATATGAATGCCCTCTAAATAGTTATCTTGTTTTTGAACCAGAAACAAACAATTATATGAGATGATGCAGAAAGAGATCCATATTCCTGTTACAAACGTCCGGTATGTGAGCTTTATTTCTAACAGGGTCATTTAGAAGTTCCAAGTAAGTAGTAGCTGCTATTAGTATTTTAATCATTCCGGTTTTTCAGGATTTCAAAAAGAATTTATGCCTGGCTCCTTGGCAGTAAATTATTGGTCACTGGAATTTGGAGAGGATAGGAAAGCTAATTGGACTTCTGGACAACATAACATAATATGAAATTTGGTAGAATCTTGCCACTCATGTGTATTGTATAAATCTTTTTTTTAAAAAATCTCTCTTTTTGAGTTTTAGCTGTCTTTTTGGCATGGAAGTATCAAATTTACTGACTTTTGTTCCTATAATGTCCAAATGAATTTTTATGTTGGGTTAGTTTTTACTTAGCCTATTTTGACTAGTCCCAAGACAGACAGGGCAAGTGGGGAAATTGATGGCAGGAAAAAGGAAAAGTATTTAGCAAATACCCAGTAAAATTGTTTGTCATCAGGTCAGTGCTAAGCGATATAATTTTGGAATTAAAAAAATATATATATATACAGAGTTTGGGGATATAGCTCAGTGGAGAGAACTTCCTTAGCATGGCTCTAGGTTCAATCCTTAGCACAAAAAACATTAAACTTATAAAATCAAGGATGTAAGAAAAATATGTAGCCCACATAAAAAGAATGAATGATGCTATTATTCTTGTGACTTATCTTTTATATCTTGTTCCCCACAGGGCAGATGGAGGAGTTTGTAAGAACGGTTTTGTCATGCAGATGACTTCAGACCTGATTAATGAGAATATAGACAGACCAGCCCACTTTGACATGTCCTGTTTGGGTGCTGCTTCTCTTGCTGGCCTTGCTGTTGGTATGTGTAGATTTTATTAAAAAAAAAAAAAAAAGCTACCTTGTAAACCATATCTATGATAGCATTTCTTCTCTCAAATCATAAAATTGCTGAGAGGATCTGGAAAGCCTTGGTGTGCATTAAGGTCCATATCCATAAGCATATTCCTCACAAAATACCCTGTGACCTTCTCTGTTTGTTGGTGGGTCTGGGTACACCACCTCTCCATCCTTCATTCCTTCCATGAGAATGAATAGGAGATGAGGGCATGTGATTCTCAGCTGCTTTGGTTCCTAGCAGAGAAGGATCTTTGGGTAGCTGGTGTTAAGGAAAAGAACTGTTCAAGCATACTTGTTAAAGAACACTAAGGCAGACTTAATTCAGGGATACTGTTGCAACAGGTATAGGGACTAAGGCAATGTTTAAAACTGAAGCAAGTTTTCTAGTGGCAGATACAACAAGGAAAAGTGAGAATTTATAAGCTCAGGAGCAGGATGGGAATCAGTAAGTGGAAGATTTACTAAGAAGACACAATGGAGGTAAGAAGAAATTCTGGCTAAACCAACCTAACAGGATTTTTGCTGAAGGCTGGCCTGGGGGAATGTGGCAGATGAGATATCCAGGATGATCAGATACTGAGGTTTGGGGATTCTGGCTAAACGGACTTGGCTGCATTCTTCTTAAAGTAGATAATGAGGAAAGGAACATGGAAGTCTCAAGAGTTGAAGCCTAGTCGAAAAAGACCAGAGGAACTAAGTATAGAGTTTGACCAAGAAGAGAATCTTGTCACTAGGCTTGTCTTTGGTTTTAGAAAGGACTGCATTCAACCAAGGAGGGTGGCACACTCCTGTGATCCTAGTGACTAGAGATGCTGAGATAGGGGTACACAGTTGAGGGAGCCTCAGCACCTTGGTGAGATCCTGTCTCAAAAAAAAGGTGGGTGGGATTGGGGATGTAGTTGAATGGTAAAGTGCTTGGGTTCAATAAATAGATTACTATAAATAGATTAAATAAATAAACACACTCATACCCACATACACCTGTATCAGACTACTAATGATTATAATTATAAATGTGTCCTCAAATGGTCACAGTGGTATACACGTAATCTTAGTGACTCAGGAAACTGAGGCAGGAGGATAGCAAGTTCAAGACCAGCCTTGGCAACTTAGTGAGACCCTGTCTCAAAAAGAAAACGAGCAAGTTCATATGTAACTCTGTAGTAAAGCACCTCTGTGTTCAATCCCCAGTGCCAAAAAAAAAAAGTGTTCTCTTGCTGCTTTTGATTATAAATCACATGATCCTCATTTCAAAGACCAGTATGTGTTAGATCAATTTTATCTTGAATTGGAATTTAAATAGCTTGCATAAAATGCTGTACTTTGAAAAGAAAACTCTCATATTAATTTCCAGCTTTTGATTTTATGCATATGACGGAGAGTTGTCACCTATGTCAAGATGTATGACAAAAATCTCAATTTATCTTCATTTATTTTAATTGCATAAAAATAATAATATATGCCTAGCTTAGTGACACATGTCTTTAATTCAGGCTGTGTAGGAGACTAAGGCAGGAGGATCACAAGTTCCAGGCCAGCCCGGACAATGTACTGACTCCCTATGTCAAAAAATAGAGAGATGGGATATCTCAGTGGTAGAGCACTTGCCTGTCAGGGGAGAGGCCCTGGGTCCAACCTGCTGCACTGCAAGAAAGAAGAAAAAAAGAAAATGTATTATTTCTTATTTGAATTAAAAAAAAATTTAGTTGTAGAAGGACACAATGCCTTCATTTTATTTATTTTTATGTGGTGCTGAGGATGGAACTCAGGGCCTCACATGTGGCAGGCAAGTGCTGTACCATTGAGCCACAACCCCAGCCCCCAGATTTTTTTTTTTTTTTTAAATAGCAAGTCATGAAATTAAATGATGATGGGATGTGGCTACTTTGAAAGTGATTCAGTGGGGCTGGGGTTGTAGCTCAGCGGTACAGTGCTTGCCTCGCACACATGGGGCACTGGGTTCGATTCTCTGTACCACATAAAAATAAATAAATAAAATAAAGATATTGCACCCATCTAAAACTAAATAAAAATTTTAAAAAAAGTGATTTGATGTCATGCTTCTCAGAAATAAAGCTTAAAATTAGAAAACAAAAGATTTTAAAATATTGGTGTATTTATTCCCAGAAATGGTCAATCTAACAAAAGTAGCAAACTATTTTGGATTGTTTTAAAATAGTAATTTTTTCCTGTGGCACAACTCATGTTTTTGAGTGAATTTTATGGACTCATTATTTGCCTTAAAATCTGAGAATAATTTTTTCATCTGTAGGGTTTTGGACTGACAAGGAGGAACTAAAGAAATTGAGGCAAAGTGAAATGGTTTTCAAGCCACAGAAGAAATGTCAAGAATATGAAATGAATATGGAAAACTGGGTCAAAGCAGTGAAACGCTCCATGAATTGGTATAACAAGACATAACACTAAATGAAACAGTCAAGACTGTAGCCGGCTGGTGGATGCCACCTGCAGATTACAGTGCTCAGGGAGGACTGGTACCACAGGGACCACAGAGAAGATTCAAAATGAGCTTCGCAACCTGGGAGAAAAAGTGTTGCTCTTAAAAAACAAAAACAAAACTAACTAAAAAACACTGACTTTTTTTTTAATCTTGGTAAAATTATAAGGCGGCAGCAATACCTCAAAACTTCGTCTTCAATTTTCTAGCAAATTCCACAGGACATCAGCCATTTCCAACTGGATTTTGACAGTTATGAGCCCTCCTCTTTTTTAAACTGGGTCAGTGGTACATGGAACATAATTGTTTAGCATCCGAGAGCTAATAATTCTAGGTGAAACACCATTCACATTTTGCTCCAAATTATCGGAAAAATATTTCTTTAATTCTTTACAACTAAGCGGGCCAAACCAGGCATAGTGGAGCATACTTGTAATCCTGTCTATTTGGGAGGCTGAGGCAGAAGGATCACAAGTTCAAGGCCAGCCTCAGCAATTTAGAGAGACCCTATCTCAAAATGAAAAGGGCTGGGATGTAGCTCAATAGCAGAGCACCCCTGGGTTCAATCCCCAGTACCAACAAAAAGAAAGAAAGAGAAAATTAAGTGGGATATTTGAAATCCATAAAGCCAAAAAGAAAGAGTAACTGAGAAAATATGGAAGTTTAAAATAATAAAAATTCAAATGTAAAGCCATAATTTTTCAATGTCATATCCAAATATGAGCTCAATGTGCCCTTCTCAGAAAAGCTTATTATTGAGTCAATTTTTTACTTTTTTGGGCGTAAAGATACTGCCTTAATTTTCCCTTGTCCAGCCAAAATCTAAGCATTCTTTATATGTGGAAAAGCACTGGAAAACTAATTTTAGTTAATGGACTGAAATATATAATGATTTTTAAGGAACAGAAAAATATCTTTTAGTTTCTTTCTCAAATAACATTTCTTTCAAAAATTCTGGGTGAAGTATAACATTCTATTTTTTTACAAAATGCAGGCAGTTAAAATACATCTTGCCTTTCTTCTCCTGTTCTTTATCTCTCTTAGTTATTGAGATGCTTACATAAGTGTCTTTTGGTTTTATTAAGTGCCTAGTTGATAGATTTTAATTTTAAAAAGGTGCCCTAGTTTATTGGCAATTTAAGACTTGCCTTCATGGTGGTATTTCACTTGTTGGTGTCTCATTCTAATGTTTGTCCAGCCTACTCATCTCTCTGAGCTACATGCAGTGGCACGTAGAATTGACAGGAGTGCATTCACAGTCACAGTTGCCCTTCTAGCCACAGAGCTGGAGATCCACAGAGAGGAGCCGACTTCATTCATTACTCCCACTGTCAGATTTCATTGCTAGAATCAATGTAAAGGAGAAACCCCAGGCTGAGTATGAAATTGTCGTAAGGCAGCTGACCAGCCCCCAAACCGTTTTTATGTTATTTGTCCCTGCCTGCATTTGGGGATTTGAATTTGCAAGAATGAATGAATGAATTTCCCTTTTTATCAAGATTTATCACATACAAGTCCTGCATGGTAGAATTGGCTATTGTGTAATAATGAAAGTGGGGGAGGAACTGTTCGGGGAATCTTCTTATTGATGCCATTTTTCTCCATTTGAGAATCCAGTTGATAGACCAACAGTTAAAGTGCATTTCTGCAGATTCCATTTCCATGACCTTCAAGTATCTCTTTCAATGACTAAATGTTACCTGATGGAGGCACTGTAGTAAATACAAGGTATCATTAGCTCCATGAAGATTTGGATATTTTTTTGTTAAACAAAGATGGTTTGGGGGCTGGGGTTGTGGCTCAGTGGTAGAGCGCTCGCCTAGCACGTGCGGGGTGCCATGTTCAATCCTCAGCCCCACATAAAAATAAAACAAAGATATTGTGTCCAACTACAACTAAAAGAACAAAAACAATATTTTTTAAAAAGGATGGTTTGGTTTACTGTAACAAGTCATAGCTCTTTATGTAGATAATATCTTATTATTTTTGTTCTCTTTTTACATCCTTTTTACAAAGTTTAGTGGCCAATTAAAGGCTTCTCTACCAAAATTACATGAAAACTGCTCTTGTTGTGTTAATATTTCTTTTGGCTTCTGCTTCTTAGTGGGTGTGATTTCACGGAAATGATTCTGTCTTTTGGATTAGAATATACTGAATTGTAATATTATTCCTAAAAATTTGTTTCATTTCTTCTGCACATTCTTCTTTCTCAACATTCAATTATAAAACAAAGGAGATAATATAGGAAAATAATTTTGAATATCTCTTATTAGAATTGAACTACTCCTTGAAGAGCAGTTGCTAATTTTTTTTCTTCTGAGAATCTAGAAACTAATCTTTTATTTGTAGTGTTTCTGGCTGTTTTTAGTGACATGATTTAGTAAATCTTTTGTCATATTTAACCAAATTCAGTAATAAGGTGATATTTGCTTTTGTGGTTATAAAAACAATTGATAATGAAAGTCAGTTGAGTGGGAAAAAATCACTTTTTCCATCTGTCAAGTTTATTTTCCATTTTTATGCTAATATTTGAAAAGAATTAAATGTGCTAATGTTCCTCAGCATGTTTTATTTTCCCATTATGGATCTATCAGATAGTTTTAGTTCTTAAGCAGTCTCTTAAATTCTTAAGGAGGAGAGTGTTCCAAGTTCTTAAGGAGGAGAATGTTCCTGTACAGTCCATGTTAAAGTGGTTCTAATTGCTTTTATACTATAGAATTACTGAGTTTTAAATCCTTTTTATCCACCCATGACCTGGGCTTGCACTCTCAGCATTAACACTTTGGACTGGATAGTCTTTGTTCTGGGGTACAGTGCTGTGCATCAGAAGAGTATCCCCAACCTCCACCCTGTCGCTTCCAGCATCCTCCTCATAGTTGTTATGGCCAAAAAATGTCTCCAAACACTGCCACCATGGGAGGCAAAATCACCCCCGTTGAGAACCACCAATGTGGGCTAGGAGAAGAAAATTGAAGACTCAGGAATAGAGTATCATACTCCTGTTCTGACGCTTAGGGGACCCTCACAATATAATGATTGTCCTTTAAAAATTTTTTTTGGTGGTACTGGGGGATCAAACCCAGGGCCTCCATCCTGCTAGGCAAGGACTCTACCCGGAGCTTCATCTCCAGCTGGTAATTGTGTAATATTTTTACCCGCTCATCGCTACCGCAACCTTTGCAGCCTTTGTCGTCTTAATCAGTAGGTCTAGGACTTCAGTTTAGAATTAATGTATTCTACAGACCATCTGCTACTTGATCTGCTTTTTTGCCTCCCTTTCATCTCCGAGCAAGAGATGACCACTCTCTTTTTCTGCCTTCTGTGGAAACCTCCAGACTGGAAGCTCCCTGAAAGCAGGAGCCAAATCTGTTTCTTTCTCCAGAGCTTAACACTGTGCCTTCTTGTTTGTGGGATGAATTTTTGCTTTGTTTTAAAGTGCAACTTTGATTGTATACATATTTTATCTTTGATGTTACATACTTTTGTTGATATGGAACCGTTTATATTTGTTAAAAGTAAAATATGTCTCTGTTGAATTGATAACTTTGTTATAAGAGCTAGAATCCTTGTATTGTTTATTTAAAAATACTTCATATGTCCGTGTATTTGCAAATGTATTTTTATATAGATGTACACCCATAAATACAATTATATTTACTCTTTTTTTTGGGGGGGGGTGTTGGGGATTGACCCCAGGGCCTCGTGGGTGCTAAGCAATACCCTACCACTCAGCTGCTCCCTCAGCTCTATTAACTTTTAAATGTATAATTGAAGCCTTTCTAGTCACAGGGTTTATATGTTTGGCTGCAGATGACTAACAGAGATTAAATCATAACATTGCCAAACACTTAAGTGCTATAGGAAAGGAACTTCAGACATAGCCCTTTCTGCAAGACACACTGGGAACTAGTCTTTAAAATAGTACAGCCCAGGAGGCTGTCAGGAATTTTATAATTCTTTAAGGTGAGAGAAAGCTGTGCTCCAGGGTCCTTCAGATTTAAGTGATTCTAGTGATTCTAAAGTCATCCTAGAGATAGCCTAAAGAATGCTTGAATATACCCGGAAGGAGTCTGAATCCCTTTGGGAAATTTAAATCATGTTTTTTCAAAGAAGAGTTAAAAACCCCAAACATACCTTGGATCTTTAAGACCTACCTGATTCCAGAATCATCATCTCAAATTCCCAAAGCCAGGCCATCTGGTTCACAGTAGTCAAAAATGGGTAACTCTAAACTGGTGGGCAGGGTGGTGCATACCCGTAATCCCAGTGGCTAGAGAGGCTGAGGCAGGAGAATCATGAGTTCAAAGCCAGCCTCAACAAGGATGAGATGCTAAGCAAGTCATAAGACCCTATCTCTAAATAAATAGAGTACAAAGTAGGGCTGGGGATGTGGCTCAGGAGTTTAGTGCTCCTAAATTCAATCCCCAGTACCCCCTCAAAATGGGTTACCCCCCAAAATAAAGTAGGTAACCCAGAATTGTGGGTTTTTTAAGTTTTGGAGCCTCGTAACCATAAATATTTTGGTGCCAGCATCTAAATCACAGGCTATACTGTCACTATATTCCCATAGAATCCTTGGCCCAAGAAGAATTCAAGAATGATCTTGGGTATAGAAAGGATAGAGACATGAGCCTGAAGAATCAAATTTGTTTCTGAAATTCTGTTCTTTTTCTACTGTTGTACCTCCTTTACTATAAATTTGCTATTAAAATGGCTACGTCTAGATAGATATCTATACTGTATAGAGGAAAAATGTTAGAGGGACCCCACCCTAACTAATTCTTGGGCTGAGGGTATAGCTCAGTGGTAGAATGCTTTCCTAGCATGTACAAGGTCCTGGGCTCAATTCCCAGCACTGCAGAATCTTTATGAGAGACACCAAACTTTTCCAGTATGACTGTACCATTTTATATTCTCACCCATAATATGTGAGTGATCCAGTGTCTCCACATTCTTACCAGCATTTGTTATTGTCACTTTTTAAAATTCAGCTATCCTCATAGGTATATAGTGATATTTCATTAAGGTTTTAATTTGCAGTTCCCTAATTTGAAATGCAGTTGAATATCTTTTTATGTGATTTTTTGCCATCTTTGTATCCTGTTCTGTGAAATTTCTGTTCGTATCTTTTGCCCATTTGTCAATTGGATTGTTTACTAAATGAGCCATATCTTTAAATATCTTTTTTAAAGTATTTTTAAAATCAGTCCAGTGACTTAAGAAGCCACTAAGTAGGATTTTTTAAAAAAAATAATCCAAGGCAAAGTGTATATAGCATTTTGAACATGATTTTATAATATCCTGAGCAAAAGCTCTGGATACAAGTTCTGTTCTGTACTCATTAGAGTGTGGTACTAATACTGTGAGATAGCAGAAACATTTCAAAGATACCTTTACTTAAAATGTTCTGTGGAGTGTACAGGTACATACTTTCTACATAGCTACCATCATGTTTCTAACCTTTTATACATAAAA